CTGTTCTGGACATTTCATGTAAATAGAATCCTGCAGGTTGTGGTCTTTTGTGTCTGGCTTTCACTCGCCATAGTGTTTCCGATGTTCACTTCATGGCATGGGTCAGCACTTTATCCTTGTCATGTCTGAATGATATTCTGCTGTGTTGGTGGACTACAGCGTGTGTGTCCATCTTCAATTGGTGACACCTGGGCTGTTTCCACTTTCTGGCCATTGTGAATAGTGCTGCTATGAACATGCGTGTGTAGGTTTTGTGTGGACTCATGTTTGCATTACACGCATGGATACACAGTATCCCCAGGATACAGCATCTGCCATGCTTCATGGAGTTGAAGGTGTTTCCAACTCAGGCCCACAGGTCTGTGGTTGAAGTGAACTTTGTGGCATCAGGGATGCTCAGGGGGTCATGCCCTCACAGTTTCCAGGATCCTTCCAGACCTTTCCTTGTTGCCAGTCATCAGAAGAGGGGGTTGTAGTTGCTGCAGTAGCTGTGACACACCCCCCGGTGTTTCTCTGGCCCACAGAGCGAGCACTATACAGCATGGAGTGTGCCTTCCACCCGTTGTTCAGTCTCACCAGTGGGACCTGCAGGCTGGATTACCGTAGACCTGAGAACAGGTGAGCGCAGCCACCCTGACCTCCCTTCCTCCTGCCAGTGAGGCACGGTGAGGGCCACTTGGTGACTAGCCCCAAGGGTGGGCCAGGGCCCTGAAGGAAAGGATCCATCCCAGCAAGATTAGAATATTCTAGAATGCTTTGCAGGAGTGTATCCTGATTCTTAAATCAATGAGCAGCTCAGATTCAGCCTGATCCTTGTTCCCTGGGATTGAGTGATCACATGTGGAGCTTCTCTCAGAACTTCTGCCCCTAAAGCCACTCCTAGCACCAGCCCTCACTGTCTGGCCAGGATGGCACAGCTGTCTGTCTGCAGGCCTCGCCCACGCCCCATCTCCCTCACACTCCTGTTCAGCCCATTTCTCTGGTCATATGTTGCTTTGTCTCCCATGGATTTGTCACCTTTCTTCCCCTAGGTGACAGAGCCGCAAAGGATTACTCAAAGCCCATCTCTTCCAGGCAGTGAGAGACCCCAAACGGGTTAATATCCTGGAACCCTCAACAGCGAGGCATTCCTTCCTTTTGGGAAATTAACCATGAACTGGGGTTCTCGTCCCGCATTTATTCTCAAGTTACAGGAAAAGAACATAGATGGGGTTATGGCCAATTATAGTTTAACAATAAAGGCTGGTAACATCAGTCAAACAAGCAAAGTGACATTCCATAATGCAATTTGCAAAAGGTT